GTTTCTGCCCACGCTCCGTTGTGCGTCTTCATCAGAGCTCAGCGAAGCGAGCAGGCAGAACAGAGCGGTGGGGGGGGTGGGAAGGGGGGGGAGCGGGGAGGGGAGGGTGTTTAGGAGGTGGAGGGTGCGAAAGGGGTTGAAAGAGGAGGGGGGATGAAAAGCAAAGGACAGAGCTGTGTGTGTGTGTGTGTGTGTGTGTATGTGTGTGTATGTGTGTGTGTGTCTGATGGAGGTGCAGGGTTTCAGGGGCTTGAGTCAGCAAATGAAAGCGCTGGATCTTTTGCTGAGTCACCGTTCTTTAGAAGTCCCCGTTGGTGTGTGTCATCGTTGCCTCTGACTTACGGCTAGGAAAATGACACTCACAAAGGATTACGCCGGACTCTCTGTACCACGTTGCTTTTTTGCATTATTTTTGCTAAAAACGGTCCCCCTTTTTTCCGAACAATCTGTAATCATCTCAGCCAACGGATCTGTACAGTCCCTTTAGGTTTGCTTCAGACTTTCCCTTAAAACAAACTGTCGAGATAGATAGATGTGATTCACTTGCCGCATGATTAACTAAAGATATTTTTTCTTTTCAACGTGAAACAAAGTTCAGGAGTTGTTAACAATTTCCCTTATGATTAAGAGCAAACATTTGAACGAGTATAAACAATTCCTTTCAGCCTGAGTTGTATTATTGTATTTTAGAATTTGGAAGACATCGTGACTGGGATTGTCACTCAGAACCTTCGTGGACTGTGGTCCGTTCGCATTAAACAGAAAGAAAAGCTTCCTCTAACAATCGTTATGCCACTCGGACTCCTTTGGGATGAGAAGTGTTTGTTTGTTGTCACATGAAGCAGCCCGTAGTTGAAAGGGAATGTGTAGATATAGAGCATATAGTTTTCTGTAAACATGTCGCTGAGGTGGGAAATTGCTATAGAAGTAATAATCTTTAGGCCTTTTATTAAGAAAACTATCAAATCTCCAGTCACATGATGGTTCTTCCCATGTGAGTTAAAAAGAAATGAGCTCTTAGAGCTCGCCCTAAAATGTGCCAGAGCTCGCCGAAGGAATGGACACGACATCGGGCACGCTGAGCATCAGACGAGACACGAGGAAATATCGAAAAGCTAAAAACAGTCGCAAATATAAAAAGGATGGTTATGAAACAAGTAGAACATCTAAAACGGCCAAAGCCTCTGAGTGAAGTGAGGCGCCGCGCATGCCCACAGAGCGCCTCTGAGGGCTCAGAGGAGGGGACGGGTTACACCGACAGCCTGAGGCTGATCCGCGGCTCAGGAGCCAAGCCTTTCCTCAGAAGGGCTGCGGATCCTCTTCCCGCTTCCCTCCTCTGCTTTTTTTTTTACACAACAGTGCAGCCGCCGGGGCACAGCCCTCGCCCGCCACTCCCCGCCGCCTCCTGCCCGCGCCGCCGCCTCTCCTGCGGGCCGTAAAGCGGTTGAGCCGGTAGATCATGATCTTTCAGTCAGAATTAGGATCCGGCGGGTCACAGTTGACGGCCGCCGTCGAGCGTGGACCTGCCACTCTCCGCCCGGCTCTCCTCCTCCTGCCTGGCACTTCAATTAAGGTCTCTTTCATCCGCGCCTCATCCCTCACCGAGCAGCGCCGGGAGGGAAGG